TGCTGGCCAACCAGGTCTCAATTCAGGTTAACAGAAGTCTATTGAATGTGGTCAGACTTAGCTCACAACTTCTTTGCTGTTTTTGCCCCACTTCCCCTTATCGGTGACCAATGTGGTCAGCAGCAAGACCACATGCCTGTGCATGTATTCCACTGGAGTCTCAGCCTTGGAAGGGAATATAATTTCTTTTTAAATAATATTTTTGTTTTGTTTTGTTTCTGTTTGTTTTTAGCTCTCCTACACTGCTTTAAATGTTGCCTTTTGTTACATTTTCACAATTTTTATTTGGTGGACTTTGTTTATTTGTAATGGAGGGCAGAGTTTAGTTCTTTTGGCTGTTAACTATATACATCACTACCAGAACAACAAGTCTTTCAAAAGCAAAAGCAAAAGAAAGAATTTAAGGCCTTTTTGGTTTTGATAACTATTTCTTTACCTAAAATATAATTGTCATTCTTAGGACACCCTTTTATAATGTCAAGTTGAATGGACACATTGAGTGAAATTTACACATTTCTTCTATTTAGGGCTAATTAATGATGTAGCAACAGTTTGAAGTGGCCTTGGGATAAAACAATGTTCTACTTTTTCCCTCAAGAGAGCAGAAACTGATGCCTTTTAGTTGCCTTATAATGTTACCACTGTTCCTTTGAATTTCTCCTCAAATTAAAATAATCTATTTTCAGTTAGACTTAAAATTTTTAATTTCTTATATAAATATAGTAAAGTTTACAGTAAACTTTTAGAGATAAATCTAAAAATATTAGGATATTCATGGATTCAAAATTTGGTTGCTCTTTTGAATTGTTTTCATAGTTTAGCTTTATGGATATTTTTGTTACTGAGTGCCATTGAGTCAGTTCTGATGCACAGCAACGCTGTACTATAGTGTTTCTGAGGAGCAGCTAGTGGGTTTGATCTACTGACTCTGCAGTTAGCAGTCAAGTGCTTGTCCTATAACAGTGCCACACTAGTAAATAAAATTGTTTCTAAACAAGCATCTCTTATAATACTGAATACCAAAGATTAGATTTCTGATTTTGAAATGTTTTCTAATTGCCGGGATACTTTACTACCTGAAGCAGTTGTTAAATTATGTTCTTAAATATAGTTTACAAATCGATGTACTATTGCTGTTGAGGATTATATGACATTTTTGTCATTCATAAATTATGTCTCTACATAGAAAAGAGGAATACCCCCAGAGAGATGGATTGGCAAAGTGGCAGCATCAATGGGCTCAAGCATGGCAATGATAGTGAGACTGGCCCAGGATTGGGCAGTGTTTCGTTCTGCTGTGTATAAGGTCACTATGAGTCGGTTGGTTGGTTCCAACTCATGGGGACCCTGTGTAGAGTTTCTGAAGAGTGGCTGGTGGGTTTGAACCCGTGAACTTACAGTTAGAAGTACAGTGCGTATCCTACAGCACCACACCAGGACTCCTATTATGTTTTAAGTAATCCTTCTCTAGAATCCATGTTATTTTTGTTGATATTACGTGCTGTTGAGTGGTCAGACTCATAGTGACCCCATGTGACAAAGTTGAGTCCATACAGACTACCAAATATTTCTGTTAATATGAGTACATTCTCCATTTGGCTAGGGTGACATTTAATTAACTTTATTAACCTATGTTGTTGTTAGTTGCCATGGAATCGATTCTGACTCTTCGTGACTGCATGTTCACAGAGGAGAACTGTACCATAGAGTTTTCAAGGCTATGACCTGTTGGAAGCAGATCAACAGGCCTATCTTCTAAGATGCCTCTGGGTGGGTTTGAACCACCAGTATTTCAGTTAGTAGTCTATCACTCAACCATTTGTGCAATTTAGATAAAATCATCTCTGAAGACATGTACTAGTTACCTAGACTGGAATTTGCCTGTGTCTGTGTTCTTCTGTCTGTATATATAGTGCCTGAGCGTATGTATGCTTGTGCTCACGCACTACTTCTTGTATTTCAGCATTGGAGGTTGGGGATAGAATTTTGCAAATAGCTTAAGATCATTCTTAGTTGTGTCAACTGTAGTAACAACTGTGAGGATGGAGGAGGACCAGGCAGTGTTTTATTCTGTTGTACATAGGTCGCTATGAGTCAGAACTGACTCTATAGCACCTAAGACAACATATTTTGTAAATTTCTCCTTTAGAGAATGAATTCTTAATTGGCACATAACAACAATTGTGCCTATATTCATTACTGAAATTCTAGCTTATTGAAACTATTTTTAACAGTCAGTTTATATTTCTTTAGTACCAGTATATGCTGCATTTAATTAATTGCCCTGACATTGCAAGTCTAATTCAATGGGTTATGAGAATCTCAAACCCTGGAAAATTTTGAGAGGAGCTATTTTTATAAACTGTAATTGAGATAACTAAAAGGGATCTGGTTTGCTGGGAAATCAAAGGAAATGTTTGAGTGGGTATCAAGATGGTATATATATGTATATATGTATTTAGATCACCATATTCTAAGTCTTTATCAGTGTAGCCTAGTATAAAAGGTGATGGCTTGTGTTTGAATTCTCTCTAGCTGTGACTATCAGCATGTCCAAATAAACGTTACTCTAACATTTTAGTTTTTTGTTTGCATCTGCCTCTCAGAAATATCTTTTATTGGTTGCCAGTTGATGGCTATTTAGCTGAATGCTCTCTTAAATTTGATGATTTTAAATTAGCCAGCAGTTATGAAGGTGGCTAAAAGTGGTTGCCAATTCCTACTTTACTTGTGTGCCCGTTTTGAAATACAAATTTAGTGTTAAAAACTAGAGACATAATAGTTTGACCCTAACCCCACTGTTTTCTCGTTACTTAACATGAATGTACGTAGTTTTTAGCACACAATTTATGGATGGTTGTATAAAATTTTACATGAGGCATATGTAAAATTGTCTTCAAAATGGAAAGATATTTACACCTTTTATATAAGTGAAACTTTTCTAGTAAGTATGTAATTCAGTAAGTATGTAATTAATACCAACATTTGAAAGAATCTGTAAAAATATACTCTGAATCTCAAAATTCATTGATAAATTAGGAATATTAGATTATTTGATTCTAGTTTGGATCAGATTAATACTTTGTGACTGACTTCACAAGCCTTTTCTGTTTTGATTTCAGATTCTGGAGACTATGCCAATGACTGAGAAAGTTGAAGAATTGCTGCAAGTCATAGGCCCATTTTATGAAATTGTAGAGGACAAAAAAAGTGGCAGGAGCCCTGATTTAACCTCAGGTTGGACTATTTTATCTATTTTTTTAATTCAGCAATTGACTATATTCTGAATTAATATTTATATATCTGAATTTTTTTTTTTCACATGCTAGTCCGACTGGAGAAAATCTCTAAATATTTAGAAGGTAGGAATAATAAACTGCATGTAAATTTTTTCTTTGTATCCATTTGCATGCCCAAAGAATTCTACACAAACTTACATACCTTAAAAGCATACCACCCAAGCAGTTTCTTTCAAAACAAACACATTTTTTGAGGTTCTAAATATTGTTATTGTTGTTGTATACTGTTGAGTCAAATCCTACTCATAGGGATCCAGTAGAACAGAGTAGAACTGCCACATAGGGACTTTTCCCCATAAATTGTATTTATTTTGTTGTTGAAAATCTATATAGCAAAACATACACCAATGAGGTGTTTGTGTCCAGTTTGGTGACACTGATCCACGTGGGGTTTTCTAGACTGTAATCTTTACAGGAACAGATAGCCAGGTCTTTTCTCCTACAGAGCAGCTGACTGCTTAACCATTGATTCACCAGAGCTCCTTTCCAAATATAAATTCTTAGGTTTTTAACCCTTAAATGTCATGTTATGAGAACATGACAAGTGGTTAATTTGCTGTTGTTAAGTACTATTGAATAGATTCCGACCCTGTGTAGCGTTTCCGAGGAACAACAGGTAGGTTTGACCCTCCGACCACGTTAGCAGTCCATCATGGGTTGGTTTGTTTGTTTTTGATGCATCATATTTTCTGTTTTGTTCTAGTAATCATATTAGCAATATTGTAGCTGAAATAATTTTCTAGCTACTTTTATAGTACATGTATTTTCAATATAGCTTAGCTATAGTTTTGCAAGCTAAAACAAGACAGTGAATTCAAGTAGCTTATTTTTTTGTTATTGCTATTGTTTTTTAAATTTATTTTCATGTTCTCAGTAAAAGATTGGAAGGCTTATGTTTTTCATACTAGCAGGAGTTAAATAACATATAAGAATTGTTGATACTACCTATTAATATTTGTTCACTAGAATGTTTTAGAAATCAGAGTGTAATGAGCACAAAAGAGGTAATTTCAGTGAAATTGTTTAAGCTTTAAGTAAACAGCTTAGCATTCCTTTCCTTCTTCCTACGGCCAAAGGTTTTGTAAGTCATTTGGCAGTGAGACCTGTCCTGACATAAATAAATTTAGGAACAAAGTCTGACTTGAAATAACATTAGGTTATTATGAATCTTTATTTCTCCTACTTTGTGTGAATATTCATATCTTTTGCTATAAAAAGTCCTTTTTTTTTTTAGTTAAGAGGGAGCAACTGTAGACTTTAAAAGAGGTATTATATTACATACAGTATATATGCTGTTTGACCTTTGTGAAATTAGAAAACGCTAGATATTTAAATCTTACCTAGACACAGAAGTTGCAAATCAGGGATTGTGGACAATTCTGAGGGACATTTATATTATTATCTCTTTTGATCTTCACAAAATGATTATGAGTGTTATCGTGTATGTATGTAATTTCACATATGTGCAAGTATGTTATTTGTTGTTACTGAGTCAAATGGTGACCGCATGTGTTCAGAA